AAATACAATCCTTTTTAACCTTTTGGCTTCCCGTACATTCAGTTGCGCTTCTAGCTCGTATTCACTTCTGTTGGTACGTATCACGTATGGTAACTGGGCAAAAATACGCATGATTTGTTGTAGTATGATTGCATAAAGGAAGGAAACAGGAATTCCGGTAGGGAACAGAATCGACTGACGTGCAGGCAGCGCTGCAGCAGTGCAGCCACTTAAACAGAGTTTGCCCTTCCCCTACTGACTTTCACTTTTGGTGCCCGAATGGAAGTGAATGAGGCTTTGCGATCGCGATTATTTTTGTATTTTATTTTTTTTTCTCGGAAGGGCGAGTCGGAAGGGCATCTTGAGTCAGGAAAGGCAAACGGGCAGTTGCTCGGGCAACCAGAGCAACCCCCCTGTGCACGTCCCTGCCTGGTTCCTTAACATTAAAAGGGGAGGAGTGGCTGTTCCAAGCAACAGAGAAAAAAGGTGCTTCATTTCTAAGTAAGTTACAGCCCATTGACAAAAAAGTGATTTATTAATAAGTGATTTCATTGAAAAACTACACAGCCCCTTTAAACTGGGACTGATGCAGGCAGACATTCAACTAAGGTCAAGGCTAGGAAATGGTATGGTCCATTTTAGGGGTGTCTGAAATCGTATTTCAAGATTCTTGATGCATTAATGTGGGAAATACATTGCAATATTTACAATTACAGGTAAGAAAGACACATGAACTCAAAGGAACACAATCACCTTATTACACACCTTTATTTAAATTTTTGCTTAATGATGCTGTTATGACCAACAACTGTTCATTTATTATTGACAAATATAGATAGTTATTGACAATTACCTCTTGTCCACTCTGTCGGGTCAATCGGGCAGTTGGAAAAGTAATAAATGTAAAATAAAAAGTGTGGAACATGTTTTAGTGTTGTCAAGGTAACGTGATAATGTTGCAAAGTGCTGTCCCATTCCTATTTATAGCATTTTTAGCCCTTAGCTTGCATTCAGTCACTTGAGGCTCGTGCAGACTACACGACTTTAAGCATCCACCAATGGCCTTGCTGTTCATACTACACTACTTGCCGTCGTGAAGTCGTTGTGGCATTCACACTATGTGATTGATCGGTAACAGGGAGTCACACAGTACACGAGCTGACAGACACACATGCAATGTGGAACAGGAAATGACGCAAACCTACACACGAAGCGGCTGTTTGTTATTATAAAGATAGCAATTGTAAAGACGAAGAATATGGGTGAAAGAATGGATTAGTACACGCAAGTAGCAGGGAATCGTTTGACCTACAGAGAGCAGGTGGTGAGTAAAAAGTGTTTTGTAGAGTAGTGTTACTTTCATCAGATGAAACTAAACGAAATATATTCGTCAACATCCTTTTTTTCCCTGACAAAACCTAGACGAGACGAGACAGCGATAATGTCCTTAAACGCTGACTGTGACTATATTTACATGCAATATTGTTGACAAAAAATGATAAAATGTAATTTATAAAAGAAAAACGTTAATAAAATATCTCTTTTTTTTCACCCCAGTATAATCAGGAGACAAAATATTACAGGCCATATTTTCTTGAACAGTGTTCCTTCAGCGGTATTTTTTTCTTCCTGTTCTTTGAATGCTGTCCGACCGGGGCGACGCTTGGTGCGTGAGGAAAATGTTACTGTGGAGGATGCGAACTCTGGTGATGAACACAACATGCTAGGGAGAAAGAGGCACTTAGATATCAGCTCCCCTAAAAGCATGATTGTGTGATATTTTGGGGTGGGTCTCTAAAATATTGAGAGCTTGCTTGATTGCCATGAATCTCTATATTTCTCTATCATCATGGATCATGCAGGGCGCCACACTTCATCCAGCCAGAGGGAATTATCATCTGACCATACGCAGCGTGCCAGTCGCTCTGCGATCTCCTGGGTTGCATCAC